CTGTTGAAACCCAAGTGCAACTGTCCTGAGCTGGAAAGGGTTGACTGTCGGCTCGAGAATAAGGAACTCTGGGACCGGTTCCACGAGTTGGGCACCGAAATGATTATCACCAAAACTGGAAGGTATGACCACTTCTCACTCTAACTCTACATCTATCTCATTGATATCTTAGAGCTGTAGATAATACCGATTAGCACAACCAAGTTATAAAACTCTGCAGAAAAACAAATATTTTACTCATTTTTAGGGCAATTTATTAATTTCATAAATCGCTTATCACTGAAACCATCGAATCTTTGGCTTTGATTATAATTATGTGAATAAAAAACTTTTTTATTTTTGCCATAAATCTTAACGATAAAGCGTACAAATAGTTAACATTAATATCGCAATTGAATTGATAATAAACTTTTGGCAAAACTAATTATAACAGCAATTAATTTAGAGATTAATATTTAGCATAAAATATAAATATTAGCAATAATCTAATGGAAAGGCGTGTTTTTATTTGTTGATGTGTTTGTGGACAGGCGTATGTTTCCGACAGTCCGCTGTTCATTCAGTGGAGTCGAATTGGACGCCCGGTATGTGGCGCTCATGGATATCGTTCCCGTAGACGTCAAGAGGTATCGGTACGCATACCACCGGAGCTCATGGTTGGTGGCCGGTAAGGCCGATGCACCGGCACCCGTACGGCTATACATGCATCCCGACGCCCCATTCACTGGCGAACAGCTACGCAAACAAGTGGTCTCGTTTGAAAAGACCAAGCTCACTAATAATGAAATGGATAAGAGTGGACATGTATGCTGATTAATTACTTTACTTAATTTAAACAATATGACAGTATTATAAATTAATTGTTAGTAGTTTATATTCTAACTATACTGTACAAATAATCCTAATTTCACATACCTGTGCCCTACACCTGTAGTGTTTATTCTGTTGGCAATTATTTCAATACCTCTTTAATTATATGAAAACTAATCGATAATTTGTTGGCAGAAATTTTTTAACACAATTTGTGTCTGTTTTGTAACACTTGAGTGTTGTGTATGAGGCAACAACACACCTGTCAATACAGACATACATCTAATTAACTCATTATTCGCTGACATTTGTAGCCATCGACTATAATAATAATAATGTGTTTAATTCTGTGTTTAAGCATTTCGCTTTAATTTATTACTTTTAATATTCTCATTAAATATATTGTTTGTTACATTATATTTCATTCATTCGTTCATTTGCTATATTGTCTGTACAGATCGTATTGAACTCAATGCACAAATACCAGCCCCGCATACATTTGGTGAAACTGAGGCCCGACTATCACTATAACGGCAACACTCCTGTTATTAATAACGTTGAATACCAACAGTTCCGCACTTTTGTGTTCCCGGAAACACAATTCATTGCAGTCACTGCTTATCAAAACCAATTGGTAGGTATTCAACACTATTATAAGTTTATCACTTGTTTTATGCTATAATGGAATATACAGTATATGCAAACTTATTATATAATATATTTTATTCATTCAAAGTAGTAGTTTATTTTGCAATCAACTCAATTTTATAGTGTAAATTATTATACCTTAAAGGGCGAGTTTTGAAATGAATTGTTAAACATGAAATTATTTATAAAAATTGATTTTTTCATTATTACAATATTATTATTTCTAATAACTCCATCCCCAATGGGATGGCATAATGTTCCGGTTATAATAGAGATTAGTTTGAGTAAAATAAATATTTTCCATATTTTATAATAACGATTTTTTATGTTTAATAAATATTCATTAAATTTTCGAAACAATTTGTTTAATATCTGTAAAAATAATTTACGATAATTTTTGAGAAACTGCCAGCCTTTCCATAACATAAGTGCAACACTTTTATTTAATATGCTGGTCGTCCTCATCGGTTAGGCATATTCCAGGCGGTCTATCCATTAGCCCATAAGGGGAGTGACACCACTCTGTTGGTCCCCCTCTGGATATATCTGTAAAACTAATGTAAAATAGATTTCTCTTCACTAAAATTATCATTTAATGAAATATATATAAAATATTTAAAGAAATAAATCTTCATTTTTTGTGTGATGCTATAAATTAACATAAATTTCTAGGAAAAAATTGTTGGGAAAGCATATAATTTAATAGATTTTAATAATTTAAAAGAACGGGTTATACGGTTAAGTTGAGGGCTATTCTCAAGAATTTATTCAAATTTTATACTACAATCAAATATTTAAAAAGTATTTGATTAGAGTACAGAATGAATGAATGATTTGTCAAATTTAATTCAAGTGAAAAATTACCATTAATTCAATTAGTATCTATATTTTGAATGAAAATGTTTTGAGATTAATAAATAAAATGTCATTAATTAATAATTTGTATTAATATTTGCTAAACAGATAACGAAACTGAAAATCGATAGCAACCCGTTTGCCAAAGGCTTTCGCGACTCGAGTAGACTAACTGACCTGGAAAGGTACGAAATGTAAATATACCATTTTTATACTTTTTACATTTATTTTTATTATTACTTTCGTAACTTTTTTTTCACTCGACTCTTATCTATAGTGTGTTATTATTTACAATAATTTATTATAAATACTAATTATTATTCATACGAACTGCCAATAAGTGCTGATCATATGCCAGACCCCTCTTGACTTGTGTGCACAACACAATTATCTCACGGTTTTAATGACTGATCCATTTGTATAGATTTCAATACTATATGTGTTTGGCATCAGACACCAGAGCCTATCCATTAACAATAAATAAAAATTATATGATTTTTTGTTTGTTTTATAGGAGTTCACTAAATAGCTATGCGTTTGAATTGAGTTATTAAGTCATTAGCGTATGAATGTAACAATTATATTTGAATTTAGATTTTTTGATAACAAATAAAAACACTAATATCTCAATCGTGTTTTTGAGTGTTATTTATAAAAACCAAACCTCAAAACGTTTTTAAAATCAAATATGAAAGCATATTATCATACATTTTGATCCTTCAGTTTCTTATCAGTGTATGTGTTTGACATGACATGGGTTTGCATTCATAACCACAGCTCCCAATACACTGTCTTTTGCTATAAATGCGATAAAATAATTCAATCGTTAATATTCCCTATTTGTAACCAATCTCTCTCTCTCTCTCTCTCTCTCTCTCTCTCTCTCAAAATGATACTAAAAATACTTAAAATTAAAGCATAATTTTTATAAAACTTATATTTTTACCTTTTAAAAACAAAAACGAATGATACTATAATA